GAGTCCAAATCGCGAAGCTAGGAGCTGGTTTGGCCTCTACCATTCCGGGCCCTGGCTTGCGGCGGCGGTGGCCCTGGGTCGGCTGGTAGGGACCTGGGTGGGGAGAAACCGAGGCGCGCGCGAGCTCACACGCACACAACTAGTCCTTTCCAATTATCCGCCCCTTTACAAATTGTATGCTTGTCCTGAATTGTTAATGAAAAGCGCCAGTTCGAATCGCCATCTACCTCTGCCTGGACAAAGGAAGCCCTAAGTCTTTCGTAGCCAGGCACCAAAGTTAAAGATTCACTTCCGCAAGCCCCGTGGCCCTTTCTTGCTACTCAACTTGGCTCTGAGCCCCAGAAATGCTCTGGGAGACTGGAGTTTCCCTGCAGAGGGGCGACAAGTGAGCCGACCCGAGTGGTAACCACGAGCAGGTGTTGGCATTCTCTCCCGTGTACGTAATTAGTGGGACGGTCCGTGTTGGGGAGTTGGGGGATGACATTAACATATCCCATCTTATAAACTTCCCGGGGAGGGCTGTCCCTAGGAGGGCAATTATCCAATTAGTTCAATCATGTAGACACACAATGTGGATCACTTTGTCTTTAAAACATCATCGAAAAACAAACTTTTTATTTATTGTAAGAATTATTTTTCTACGAAGGAGGGGCTTGAATTAGAGGGATTGCGTCAACAGAACCTCAACTCAGAAACCCCCAATTAAGAGAGATGAAGGAAGTGGATCTCCGGAGTCGCGGTCACCCGACGTTTGGTTCCCGCCTTCTCCCTCCGCTGAAAAGTCACACTGATGACAGACACTACCTGCAGGGCCGACGGTTTGATAACGAATAACGGTTATTGACACCAGGATAGTCTCCCCCACCCCTGGGCTTCTGGTCTATGTAAACGAGGCCACATGGAGAAGCGTGAAAATTATCTAAATAGCTGAAATACACCCCCAAAACGGACTTGCTCCAATAGTTTGTGATTTCAATCTAGTGAGGAGTTTTCAAGTCGAATTGTCGGAGTAATTGCCTTAATCTTCCACTTCGTCTCCGGGCCCGGGAAAGGGGAGATGGTAGGACGACTGCGGACGTGCAGCCTCGCTCCTGAGTTTGCAGAGCCCCCAGGACTCGAGACTCCGTCTAGAGGAGGAGAAGCCCCTTTCCTCATCTTCTAAGCCTGCTTTTCCTGTTCCGCAGCTCCAGGGCCAAACGCCCCCCAACCCACCCCTCGAGCGGGCTCGCGGGTGTCCTAGCCCTTCGACTGGACGGCTTCTTGGGCACAGCTCAGAACCTAGGGCGTGCGTGCGCCAGAACAGCAGGCGGGGAGGGGGCCTGGACACGCCACGGAGGCGATTCGGCTGGCCAGGGCTGAGGGGGACCCTGGAAAGTTCCCGCGTGGGGGGTCTCTGACGGGGAAGACAGTATGTGCACCCAGAGCTGGGCTAACGCCCCTCACCAGTCATTTCCTGGACTAGGGGCTTCTGCCCCGACTCTTCTTCTCACTACTTGACTGCGGGGGTGGGGGG